GACACCTGTGGGCCCTGCTAGACACAGCGTTGGAGTCTCCGTATTTATGAGGAATGATGAATGTTAGGAGCTCATCATCCCAAATGTTGCAAAGATTTATCTTTTCTGTAAAGCTTTTATTATGCTGTTCTTAATCCTTTGCCTTTATTCCATTTTCGCAGATCTCTTCCTTATTGTGCTTTTTTGTAAATTTTTTTATGTGTTACATTTTCTGGGTTCTTTCAGTATATAATTATCTGTATTTTTTATGTCATGTACCTTCTTAAGTTTAAATCTTGACAAATGGATATCTATACACTTTTAGCTGTATATTTTCTTGTTGTTACCCTTATATTGCTGTGATATTTTTTCTTTTGGTGTGTTTTCTGTTGAATGTATTCATCTTAGTTTTCACAATAAATCTTTTATGCATCAGATCTTTTGTCATTTTTCATCTTTTTTTATTCGAACTATTTTTGACATTCATATGACTTTACTCCTCGCCCTATTACAGATGATCTCCTCCACTGCCTTTGTCCATATTCTCTGTTTTCTTCTAATCATGTGGAACATTCCTTCTTGTTATATATTTTCTGGTACTGATTGGTGTAAGAAGTACTTTTCTTTCGTGTTTATTTTAATCCAAATTTAGTATAGAGAGCCAAAGAATTAAAGGTTTAAAATAGCTCTTTTTCCCCTCTGCATATTTTCTTTCTTTTAAAATTTGGGGTTTTTTTATTTTCAAAAATTGTCACCTGCACCTTATTCCCATAAATTTTATTTTATTGTCTGTTTTTTGGTTGACCTTCAATGTCATTGAAGATCAGGAATTATCTTCAATATTAATGTAGATCATCAATTATCTTCAAAATATTTTAAAATACATAATGGATTTTTTCTGATTTATGCTGTTACTCTAAAACCTTGGCTTCATTTGCCTTCTAAGTAAATACATTCTAAATTCTGTCCTATGACAAATTTTGTCACACTTACTATTAAGAAGTACTTTGAGACACTAATAGATTTCCAGACCAGTGTAATACTCCTGGCTGTCATTTAAAATGCAGGAATCGTGGTTAATTTTGAAAAATATCACCTTTCATCTCTCTTAATCACTTGTCTTTAACATCCAGCTTTTCAATTTCACCCTTTCTGGTTACCTGAAGATCGGGGGAGACACTGAAAAGAGCAGGAAGGGGTTTATGGCAGTCCAGAATGCTCCTGTAGAAGGTCTGTGAAAGGAGCGTCTACCCTGGGTGATATAAAACTGAAAGTGGGATAGGGAAGGAGCAGGGCAGGGACAGAGGCTACGAACCAGAGTCTGATTAAGGGACTGATATGACTGACACCATCTCCCTATTTAGACTGGTGCTGTTACTCACCACTGGGACATGTGAGTCACATTACAACAACAAAGCAGCATGCCTAAATCGTTAGTCAGTGTTTCTAAAGCACTTTGACATCCATCATTCCTGAGAGGCTTGAGAAAACCTGCACTAAGGGTTTTGTTTTTTCCCCATGGGAAGCCCCAAAAGACAATTTTTAATTCAGAGAGCATTTAAATCACAAAGTTATTGAATACAAAGTAATGCTATCAAGGGGAGAGAGGAAACAGAAGACTTTGATGTGCAGAGGGACTTGATGTGGCCCTGAGACAGAGTAATGAGGCACAGCTTGCTCTGACTTGGTGGTAAAATGGAAATCTAGGCAAGGAAGTGCCCCCCAACTAGGAGCCATGGATGGGAGTAGTTCACTTTGTGCCTGGAGAGTGTTGTTTGTCTTCCCCTGCAATAACCAGAGGGCAACTGTTGGTGGGGGAAGGATCACTTGCATTTTCACTGACCTCCCAGATACATCACCTCTGAACTGCATGTCGTACATGTCTGGATGAAAACTCAAACAAGCAGAAACCAAAACACAATTATCACCTGAAGAGAAAAGGAAAATGTTTGGGTAAAAGTGTATCAAAACTGTTTCAAAATTCTATCAAAACTCTTTCAAAATCAAATTAGGCATTGCAGGAATTCAAGTATTTCACCTGTGGGGGGTCGTAGAATCACAGAGACACAGAATCGTTTAGGTAGGAAAAGACCTTTAAAGTCATCAGGTCCAATCATTAACCTAATTTTACCAAGTCCACAGTTAAACCATGTCCCTGAACACCACATCTACATGACTTTTAAAAAGGTCCCGGGATGGTGATTCAATCACTTCCCTGGGCAGCCTGTTCCAGTGCTTGACAACGCTTTTGGTGAAGAAATTGTTCCTCAGCCTCAACCTTCCCTGGTGTAACTTGAGGCTGATCCTCTTGTCCTGTTGCTTGTTCCTTGGGAGCAGAGCCCGACCCCCACCTGGCTCCAGGCTCCTGTCAGGAGGTGTCAGAGCCAGAAGGTCGCCCCTGAGCCTCCTTTGCTCCAGGCTCAGCACCCCCAGGTCCCTCAGCTGCTCCTTCCCACACTTGGGCTCTAGACACTTCCCCATCAGCTTCATTGCCCTTCTCTGGCCATTCTCCAGCCCCTCAAGATCCTTCTTGGATGGAGAGACCCCAGAATTCGAGGGGTAGCCTCCCCAGTGCCCAGCCCAGGGGAACAATCCCTGCCCTAGTCCTGCTGGGTCTTCTCAGGGGCGACAGTGAAAAAGGTCCAACAAGTTTCTTTGATAGGAGTAAAAACCTAAAATCTTGAATAAAAGATACCAAATGTCATCTGAAAAAAAAGCACAGGAAAAGGGTGAACAATCACAGATGTATGTAGAATTTTTTTTTCTGCAAAGTATAGTTTGAAATAACAACATATTTTCCCCTGATAAACAGCAAATATGATGTCTTAGACTAAGAGAGGATTCACTCAAAAATGTTGAAAGAATTATTTTTAATGAAAGTAAAGAGCTACATTAATATTGACCCATGACTGCCGATGGCACAAATCATGATCTAATTAATGGTGTGCACCACCTTGTTTCCTGTACACTGAAGGGCATGGGATTGTGTAACACTGAAGTCTCCAAACCACTCGCACATTTTCATACATTAACACAACACCAAACATTAGGTGGGTTGAACACCAACTAATTAATGTTTGTGAAATCATTACAAATTGCTTTTTTCTTAAGAAGCCCCAGAAGATATTTGATAAGAGTTAACGCCCACAACAGCTAAGGAGAAATCATTTAGGGACATGGTTTAGTGGTGACCTGGCAGTGCTGGGTTACTGGTTGGAGTCAATGATCTTTAAGGTCTTTTCCAGCTGAAACTATTCTGATTATCTGCTGCTTTAATTTTTCCTCAAAATTGCACCCACCTTGGTGGGTCACGGGCAGGGGTGGCACTTCACACATTTCTGGGATGCTTTTTTTTGACTTCCTATCTCAAATCACCGTCCATAGAACCATGGGCCCCTTTAAAGCTGAATTTCAATTCCCACCGAAACTCTTGTAGTAAAACAAAATTACTTTTCTGCAGGATTGTCTCCGCACTCAGAAGACTGTTCCTCTCAATGGAAAGCTGTTGGAGAATTGTCCTGTGTATTGTGTGATTTCAGCAGGTGTTCATGACCACTTAAAATCCACCTGAGGTCAATGAGGTCTGTCTAAGTTAGGGATGGAAAAGACAAATTCCTGGGTAGTCCTAGGATAAGCTGCACTCAGTCTCTGATTAATTTACCAGATAAAAGGTTGTTAAGGAAAAATGTACATGTCAGCCAAAGATGAGTCTTACAAAATCTCTGAGCAGGCAAACTTGTGACAACTCTGCAAAGGAAGGTGTAAGATGCGGAGTCAGCTTAATGCAGATGGCAATTCCAGCGAGTTCACTATGATGAGAGCAGAAATGACACTATCCAATTAAGAGGCAAGATTAAAGAAGTCACGATGGTGTAATACAACCATGACGGACACCGCACGGTGTGAGAATGTGAATAAAATCATGACCATGATAAACACAAAGCTTTCATCACTTGAAGCTGTTAAATAATTTCTGTTGGACAGCCAAACACAGCCCCCAATGCCACGTGAGAGCCAAACCTCATCACAATGCAGAGAAACTACATAAGCTGCAGTTTCTGAGTTCATTTAGACACTTCTCTTGGCTTATTCGTCTTCTCGAGCTCCGTGAGTATGATTTTTTTTTTATTTCTTTCTATTTATTTAGTTTGAACCTACAGCAGAGCAGATTCCTACAAGTATGCTCAGATTTTGAGCACCATTGGATCGTTTCTGTCTATAACTACTCTTAGTGAAATCTTTAGTAGATGCAGAATTTAGGAGATTGGGTGTGATTGTAGAAAATGAGGAATAAATTTGAGTGTTCTAAGCCTGTTAGAAGCTTAAAAATCACAGGAGAAAACACTTTTCTTTCAGATAATTGTTTTCACAGAATGTTTTCATAATTTCATGTTTCATAAAATTTAAGATAGATGAAATAGATGGCCACCTTTTCAACTATGCTCAGTGGCACTCTGGGAGACATAAATACACTTAGTACAAGCAAAGCCAAATCTAACTTGTTTTTTTTCCCCACACTTTGGGGACCTCTGTGGTAGATGGGACTGAGATTCCTACAGTGTTCTTCAGGATGTGTATTTGCAGGATGTGTCAGACACATCCAAGTGAATCCGGAAGAAAGACCAGTCTGTGGAGTCTGGTCCTTCCTGTGGCGGATTTATACAATCAGAAATTTGGGATCCAAGCGCTCAGCTACTGCTAATCAAAATGCTCAAAGCTGCCTGTAAAACACACGCTCTAGCACAGGGCATCACAACACCAAAATTTCTCTCATGGCAGCATTTCAGAATATATCTCATAAAACTTCTGATTTGTCTCTTCAGCCAGATCTTCACGCTCCCTAAGATGTCTTGCTACGACCTGTGCCCACCGAAAACCAGCGTGGCCGTGCCCCAGCCCATCGCCGAGAGCTGCAACGAGCTGTGCGCCCGACAG